ATTAGATTGAAAACAAAAAAGCAATATGTTTACACTTGAAGGTGTTCATTTTACCTCGTTTATAAACTCGGATGTAAGTTGCTTTGAATTGTGTAAGGATTTTTCCCTTCCGTTTGAATCTATTGTTTCCATGATACCAATCCCTAGGTTGCAATGGACCGTTCAACCAGGATGCTTTATGAATTGATCCAAAATCTCCTTTTGCAAGATATTCAACATTGGTAATCTTTCAAAAGGGATCCATTCGAATGAACTTTATTTATCAGCAATTTCATCATATTCATTTATTAGACTGTCGATATCTTTATTTTCACTAGACCATTCAATATAAATTCTATAGATAACATCCTCTGCAGTAACCCCATTGACATTTGGTACATTTACTATGATCATGAGTATTGTGAACTGAGCACTCATCGCAGTAATTCAATTCTCGACAATCGTAACAGTTATTCTTACAATCATGAATATTGTGAACTGAACACGCTTTGCAGTGACCCCATTCTCGACAATAAATACATTTACTACAATCATGAGTATTAGATGTCATCTTTGAGTTTATTAGTGATTATGGCAGTGTTTTATTTAAAAAACGATTATTTATATGTGATATGAAAGTCAATTAATGTGGGGAATCATGATGAAAATGGATTATGGTGAAAATTTGCAATATTTATTATAATAAACTTCAAATAATAATTATACTTATAAATTTACATAGTTATAGCAATATAAATCTTATTGCAAAATTAATTTAAGTTATATATTTTATGCATTTATTATTATTTTCAAAATATTTCTCTTTTATTATATGAAATTATTAATAATACTGGCCAAATGATCTCATAATTTGCACAATTCGGTCAAAATTTTCACCATAATTCACTTTTTATCATATCTTCCACAATTAATACATGTTATCCATCCTCTATATGAATTCAATATCATATTAATTCCTTATAGCAAAACTAATATATTAAATTTTGACTAAATATTTTTCACAGTTTTTGAAAAACTTTTACACTTTTAATTATACATATTAAGACTTGTATACAAGTGGCTTTGAATCATATTATATTGAACAAAATGCTATTATTAGATTTATAAGCTTTGTATTATATTATATTATATTAAATTAAATATTATTGTTGAATTTATTAATTTTGTATTAAGTAATTTTATTTTTGTTATTTCAAGTTTTGTTATTTAATTTTGTTATTTGATATTACTCATTTGTGAGAAGAACAAAATATAAGAGTTTTTGTTACTTTGTTATTACTTACTAATTATAATTATTTTAGCTCTGAAAAGTTTTATACTATATAAAGAATTAGTATTTTAAATTTATTTTATTATTTATTCTTTAATATTTTATTCTTTTTTTTCTCTTTCAATTTTTACTTTTTTATAACTCTCATATTTCTATATTTTTAAATTATTATAATTTTCATAAAAAGCATAAAACTTAGATATATCTTTCTTTTTAGTATTTAATTTATTTGTTTAATTCTCTTTTTTAATCCAAATTCAAGTTTAAAAGCTAATTTAATGATTAATAAACAAACTTGTAATATTATATATTCTATTATTTAATAATAATATTAATATTAATAATAATTAAAAACTATTACCAATATAAAGTTTAATAATACTAATAATAATATTGTTATTATTTTCAACAAAAATTTTATAATTCCTTAATTATAAATTATAATAATAATAATTATATTAATTTTCTTATTTATATACTATTATATAATTATATTTAGTATAAATATTATTTTCTTTTTGATTAAAAATTAAAATAATTATTAACAATTACATTCTTATATATTTTTTATTTTATTTTTATTTTATTTTATACTTTTAATTTTTATTTTTTTTATACTTTTACTCAAAAATTAATTATCTTTCTATTGATATATCTTATATTTTATTATATTTATCCAATTATAATTATATTTATTTTATTACTTACTTTCACTTTTATTTTTATTATTATTTATTTTTATTATCTTTATTAATTTTCTTATAATAAATTTTATATTATTATTTTTTTTAGATTTTTTCTTTTATTAATTCATTAATTTTAGCAATTCTTGAATTGATGAAAATAATATTAATACCAAAATTAATTGATATTGATCAGAATCTCAATCTAATAATAATACTTTAATTAGTGAATTCATAAAATATTATATAATATAAAATTAATTAAAGTATAATTTTAACTAATTAAATTATAATTTCAACTAATCAAAATATAACTTCAACTATTCCAATAAAAAGAGAAAAAAATAAAACTAAAAACCAGTTATATTATTGCATCATTTTCATATGTATTTTGTGTTCAAGAATCAATTTTTGGTTAAAAATCAATTTCTATTCCTATATTTAATTCTTTCACAACTTTTATTAACAATATCAATTCCATCTGAATGTCTATTTCAGATGTTAAAAACTTAATTACACATGAACGAAATTGATTAAATAGAACAAATCCACTTGAGAATTAATTTCAAATTAAAAATTGATTAATCAAACTTTCTAAAAATGATTAATTGACTAATCAAAATTATAAAATCAATTCTGGGTTGAGAATCAATTCTATCTCTAGTACTGGATTGATATTATAGTATACAGGAATTTTGCTTTAGCCTCCTCTTCAACTTGATGTCTTTGCCATAATGATGATATAAAAAAATCTCTTAAATTGTTTGGAAAATGTAATTGGTCATAAGTTTCATTCATTATTTTTTATATTCATGAAATCAAAATAGTAATGCACTCGATTTTTATTTTAGTGTGCACAAAAATTAAACAAATAGAAAACACTGTTTCTCAACTCAAAGTGCACAATCCTGGACCCTTGTTCTCAGAATGCGAGAACACCAGATTTCACTGATCTTAACTAGTACAAAATCCTGAAACACCAAAATCCCGCCTAGTACAAAATTCCGACAGTTACAAAATCCTGACAATACAAAAATTCCGACAATTACAAATTCTGACAATTACAAATTCCCAACCATTTCAACCATTTTAAAATAGGGTTTCTAAGAAGTAAAACAAATAAAGTGTTTTGATCAAAAGTTAATTAACGATTTATGTGACTTTAGAGATGGGCAATCATTTATATAACACGCGTATGTCAAAACAATGGATGCGCATCACATAATTTATCAAAAATCATGAGCATCATATTTACTATAATAACGATAACAATAAAAAATTGTTCTTTTATTTACTACGAAGATGATAATTGAAAAAATTTACTAACGTTACATTCAAAATTGTGGCAAAGTATATCTTCGATACAAATAATAAATTTAAAAATCAGAAATATTTAACGAAATTACATTTGTTTTTTTTCTTGACTTTGATTTTGACAATATTAATAGCAAACTATATGAATAATTGTCGGGATTCTGAAAGTGTTGGGATTCTGCAAGTGTCGGGATTTTGTAATTGTCGGGATTTTGTACTAGTCAGGATTTTGGTGTTTCGGGATTTTGTCAGTCAGGCTATGTACTGTCGGGATTTCGAATATCGGGATTTTGAACAAAATCCGATTTTAGTATACCACTTGAAATTACCGATTTGGATGAAATTAAAAAGGATAATGAGATATTGAGTAACTTGCAAAAATTACATATTAAAATGATACAATTAAGAAGTATGCTACTCTTTGATAACTTCTTTACTCTTAAACTTTTTATTATAGTTTATTTAATTTAAGAAAACTTGATGTAATTATGGGATTGATATTAACTGTGATTTGATTTAAAGCACAACGACCAAAAGATGTTTCAACTTCTTTGTGTTTACACATACACAGTGAATCTCGAGAAGTTGGACTCTCGATAAGCGGAGACTATTTTAAACCACGATAAACCTTATAAAACTCACTTGATAAACTGGACTTCTTAATTAACTCTCAATAAATCGGATTTTTAGCTCTAATTGACCGAACACTTTGGTTTAGTGAAGTTTATTGTTTTAACTTACTTTTTATCTTTGTATTACATAAATCCAGGCAATTATTTTTCAACGATCTTAGTATAACACCATTATGGCAAAGTGCAAAGATAATTAATATAGTTACTTCTGACAGAGGTGGAAAATTTTCGATCAAGACACACCCTAATACTATTTGGAATTTGTCCATGTCTTAGAATACGATATAAAGGCAATCTACAAAGGATAGACAAGATTATTTCATCCGAAAGTGAATTCAATTCATTTGATTCTGATACTTCGTCAGAGTCTGACTGTCAAAGCTAAGGCGTCTATCGCATATAACACATCAAAGATTGCGAGAAAAAACCACCTAAGAAATCCGGCAAAGTAGTGCCCTTGCTCCGCAAAAAATCCCGCAATGTGTGAAGTTTAGAAAATAGTGAGCTTCTGCATGAATGAGTTAAAGATATCAAAAAAATATAACCAGAGTTTCGGAATGTGATTCTGTCATTCAGCTATCAACTTTGCTGAATTTATCGATTCCTGGATCTAGTAATTTGCTCTAACACTTGATGCGACAAGTATTCTCGTTATAATAAGTTCCATTATTCCACTCCGGCCCACGATCGATTTTTCCTGCCACAATAGTTTCATAGACTAAATTTTGAGATATAAGCTTTTTTTCAAAAATAAGCATTTGTTTTGTTTATTTGCTACGTCGGTCAGCCAAAATCACGTGTGATACAGTAAGTACGTAATCTTCGATCATTAATAAGAAATAAAAAAATCATCACTTTTCTGTTAGCAAAATACAAGTGCTCTGGCAAAAAAGTGACCAGTTTATCTATACATGTACTATTCGTTGTACTCTTTATTGTGGTAGTCTTAGAAATCGCGTTGCACAATGCAAGACACTGATCTCACCAGCCAACATGGTGCCAGAATACAAGCATTGGACGAAAAAAATTGGGCAGAAGTTTTGTGGAGTGACAAGTCAACATTTTCTAGTTTCAGCAAGCTCATCATAGCAGAGTTTGGAGAGAATCAACAGAAAAATGGCTTCCTGCTTGTGTTTCAAAAACAATCAAGCACAGTCCAAGTTACATGCATTGGGCATGCTTTTCTCGTCAAGGGTTAGGACCAATTGTGCATTACATAATTCTATAATTGTTAAAATATGTCAAATTCTCCGTAAATATGCATTACCTACATGTTTAATAATAAAACTTGATGATAATGCATCACCTCACCGTTCAAGCCCTGCAAAAGAATTTTATGATGCATTTAGATTGCGTACTCTCTATGGCCTGCACAAAGCCCAATTGAAATTTATGGGCTCAAGTAAAAACAAGTATTCGAACCGTAAAATTAAGCCATGTAATTTAGAGCAGCTAGATCGACAAGTTAAAGCTGCATGGAAAAAGATACCTATTTCAAAACTTGAAAAATTGATTGATGATATTCTGAGAAACATAATAAAAAATACGTGTAATAAATTATTTATTCATGTAATTTTTTTAATTTATTAAATAAAAGTTTTAATTTTGGTCATTTGATTGATGGCCACACTCTGTAGAAATTATACTTATCGATGGCAAAATATCTAATAGAACTTATAAAAATAAACATTTAGCGGTCGACTTTGTTAAAATGTAATATAAGAAATTGAAATTTTTGAAACTATCGATTTTTTTGTAAAATAAACTGGTGTTTGTTTCATCAACCCAAAAACAACAAGATAAATTTATTTCTAAAAATATCTCTGCATTGAATATCGGCATTGTTATTCGATTCTCTAGAATCGATTAATATTTGAGAATCGATTAAAATTTGGAAATCGATTAAAATTTAAGAATTGAGAATCGATTTTAAAGACAAAGTCGATTAATAATGCATAAAATAACTGGAAATCATGCAAATGTTATAACCTACTGATAGTGATACTAATGCGAAAAGTAACTGATATTGATTCGGATATTTATGAAACAATAGAAAATACATGTAATGAAACGGATACAGAATCACAATATACTATCTTTAGAATCTCTACGAATTCAATTAATCATAGTACAACCTCAACTATTCAACCAAAGACCAGTTATGTCATCGCTTTGCTGTCGTCGTCGTCATCGTCGTAATTTGTGCTCGAGAATCGATTTTGAGTTGAGATCGATTCTTATATCCAATTCTTTTCACAACGTGCACATAAATATTTGACAATTCCTGCCATCTGAAACGTCTATTTTCAGATGGGGGGAACATAATTGCACCTGAACGAAATCGATTAAATAGCCATTTGGTAAAAATTAATAATAAATTTCCGAACTAGGTACGTACGTTCATGTATTTCGATAATCGATGAATCGAAAGTACGTACGTACATGTATTAATCGATTTTAGAATCGCTTCCTATCCCCAGCACAGTATATAAAAAACACCTAACATTAACGTTAATCAATAACTGTCAAATAGCACAAGACTGCTTCCAACTAATAATTAATTACCTTTCTTCCTAACATTAAGTATCAAAACCCTTTTTCATTTACGACTTCGTACCTACGTACATCAAACGTTATCGTTATTTCCATTTTTAACTTACATGTGACTGATAGATGTCATGCACATGTATTTAAGAAGCATTTTGTCTCACAGCATCGATGCTAACAAAAAAATCCAAAATGTTATCTTCATCCTCTTCGAATGACTTCCTGAGATACGTTAAATTAGAAAAACAAATAAAATTTTTTGACTTTGATAAGTTTTCTGAAAAAGAAGTAATCGGCAATGGAGCGTTCGGTGAAGTCTATAAAGCTGAGTTAAAAGACGAAGATATAACTGTTGCTTTAAAATGTCTTTACATAAAAAATAATGAAATTAGAAAGAAATTTATTGAAGAGGTATCGTTTATTTAAGAGTTGAAAAATCAACTTATGACTTGCTAGTATTAATCATTCCTCATTCAATAGTTAAAAATTCATATTCAAATTAATTATCATAAAAACATTGTTAGCTTTTACGGAATCACCCAAGGTAAAATATATTATTTTTTCATCTTTTTTTTAAATTCTCTAATAAAAAATGTTCTTTAGATCCGATTTCTGAAAGATGCATGCTTGTTTCGAAATATGTTAACGACGGAACCCTGATGGAATATTTAAATACCAATTTCAATAAAATGAGTGGCAATGATAAATTGAATTTTGCTAAACAACTCGCTAAAGGAGTAAAGTGTATACATGATGCAGGCA